TTTGGTATTCTTAATAATTTCTTTATCTATAAAGATACTGCATTTATTATTCTACGACACTTTTTTTCCTGGCTGATATATTAATTTAATTATTTCATAAAAGCATTTGTTTGTTCCCATGATTGAGGCTTTTTACTTTCACTTACCTATATATGTAATACATAGTAAGGGTAAGTATTGCGATCGAGAAAATTTTTGAATCTAAGTTTTCAACGGAAATACACCTTTTGGAATACCCTGAGTCCAATTAACCAAGTTCCGAAAAATGGGCTTTGTGTCTCTGTGTGTTTGTGTTAGCAGTCCAACTCAAAAACGAAAAGTCGTACGAAACTGATATTACGTATTTAAGATAAGTATATCCCTTGGATGTGGCAGCAACTTTTTCGTTAAAATTGATTAATCGGAAGTGACACTTCATATCAAATATACACATTTTTACAATTTTCTCAAAACGGGTCTAACGATTTTGATTAAACTCGGTGTATCATTGTATAATTAAGTGGTCTTTAATATCATTCAGAACTTATCCCCGTTGATGTCACTCTACAGATCTTTAATGCATATATGTTCAACATGTTTTCCTCTAAATTACCTTTAATTTGCTTTATTTTAAATAATTAACTATCTCTCATTATTAAGAGTTAAGAAAAAACTTTTGAAAGAATTTGATAATTAAAAAAATAATTAAAAAGGGAAAATGTTTACTTAGGTTGAAAAGGGATTTCCGAAAATACTAGTCAGAAGGTATACGTATTTGCTTTCCTCTTAAATCGTTCACTTGATCACAAAATCGATAAAAAAAAAAAAAAAAAGGTGGTCTACAAAAATATTGGGCCGTTTAGCCTATATCACCTCGTTATTTTGACAATTTGGGGGGTGGAATTCACGCTAAACGGGTCAGGATTTTTAAAGGCCACCTTTTTATATCTATTTTGTGGTCAAATTATCTTACGATTCGAGAGGAAACTTAAGCGCTAAAGCCCCCATAGACTCTCCAGTACTTTTTATCAAGTGACAGAAAAGTTCACGGGCTACCTCGCAAAATTTACTCTTATCGAAATTCTAGAGGGTTTTTTATTTATTTTTTTTTTTTTTGTAACTCCGGTAACATCTGAAAGGTGCATCCTAGCAAAAAAACGAAGTGAAGTTGTGAAAATTAATGGCCAATGGTCGGAGGATTTCGAGGTGACAGATGGGCTTAGGCAAGGAGATCCTTTATCTCCTACCCTATTTAATATTGCTTTGGAGTATGCAATAAGGGCGATCCGGACATATCGTGGAGGCACGATTTACAATAGAATGGCACAGCATCTAGCATATGCTGATGATGTTGTGATAACGGCAAAAAATAAAACAACATTAGCAGTGGCATTAGAAGAATTCGAAACTGCAACTAAAGAACTACGGCTACAAATAAATAAACAGAAGACTGTTCACATGCAAACGTCAAAACAGACAAGTGAAACAGTCGAACTAGTGTTGCCCAAATGCGAGACAGAAACGGGTCTTGATCTTGCAAACTCAGTCTTGGTCATGGTCTTGGTCTTGCGCAAGAGACTCGCAACAGTCTTGTAGTTACTTATTAGCTTATTACTATAGAGGTATTACTGATATTTTTTAGACAGGGGAAACCTAACTAAGCCCGGATGAAAAATTAAAGGAGTTAATGCAAAAGTATATTGGTTATACCTATTATTTACATATACTAATTAAGATTGTCAAGTACTAGTAACTATTTTGCCTTAATTTTTATTCAAAAAATTGATTTTTTTTTACCAGCCCTGGTCTTGGTCTTGCGACTGTTAGACGGCCTTGGTCTTGGTCTTGCAAAGTTCAAGACCAAGACCGATTTTGGGAAACACTAAGTCGAACCGTCACAATTCGTAACCACACCCTAAAAGTGGTCGAACATTTTAAATATTTGGGAGTTCTAATTAGAGAAAACAATGATATGGTGGAAGAATTTTAAGCAAGGATGGCTGCCGGGAATAGGTGCTGTTTTGAAATTTTTTTTGTATCTCCTGTAACTTCTGTAAGGTGCATCCTAGCAAAAAAAAACGAAGTGACGTATGAACTTGATTTAATTTTAAAATGTTGTTAATCAGCTGATTTAGAATTTGATGCTTTATAACTATTTTATATTCTCCTTATTATATAACTCAGTTTTAAGTTGCAATCATTATATATAAATATATAATAAATAAAAAGGCTTAGCGAACCCGAAGGTTCGATGCCGACACCACCAATCGCTTATTACACACCTCTCTCCACCGTTCGCCGTCCAAACCCAGTCCCTTCAGATCGGCTTTAATGCAATCTTCCCACCTTCGCCTCGGTCTACCCCTCGGACGCTTACCATTCGGCACAGCAAATATTAACCATTTAGGAATTCTCTCGTTACTAAGTCCAACAACTTTACAAGCCCATTTGATTCGCCGCGATGAAATTACCTCAATTATATTACTCGGATACAGTTCACGCAATTCGGCGTTGTGTAACCGTCTGAACTCTCCGGTTAACTCATCCTTCTTCGGTCCGAATATTCTACGCAATACTTTATTTTCAAAAACCTTAAGACGCTGCTCATCCCTTAATGTAAGCGGCAAAGTTTCGCACCCATAAAGAACTGTAGGCAAGATAATTGTTTTATAGATTCTAATTTTTAAGTTTCGGGACAAGAGGCGCGAACTAAGTAGTTTTGTCACAGAAAAATAACAAGCATTTCCCGCCTTCAGTCTAACCTTAATCTCTTCTTCAATTACGTTTTTTCTAGTTATCGTAGAACCTAGATACCTAAACTTCTCTACCTGTTCAAACATATTACCATCTATATCGATATCACCAGTAGTATCGCCATTTTTGCAGCTAACCATATATTTTGTTTTATCCTCGTTTATTTCCAGTCCTAGTTCTTTGCCGGCTTTCATTAACGTATAAACATATATATACATAATTAATTGCTAAACTAACTAAGAGCGCTCATAGTAGTCGGTGATACGATGCCTAATAGATGACGCAGCCGGTTCGCTGAAAGACAGTACTGCACTGTTTCCGTTCAACCGCTATCTGATGGCGGAGGATATGCCACAATCCTGTGGGAATATTCTGTTCGGTGTCTAATGGATTCCCACTGTCAGTTAGTTAGGTGGTTAGCAAGCTATGCCTGTATCCAGATCTCTACGGATAGGATAGTGGCATCTTATTTATATCTATACATAACGTACATATCTCGAACCGAATTATAAATAAAACTAAAGGGAGGAGATAGTCCGGTGTGGCGGTCATAAATAGGATAAATAGTGGCAAAACTATTTTATCAAAAGCCAACGTTTTGACCCAACTTTGCTGGCCTTCTTCAGGGAGGTTCAGCGAGGATTTTCACTTAGAACTGGACTGGTGCAATAAAATAGTTTCGCCACTATTTAGCCTATTTATGACCGGACCATCTCCTTCCTTTATAATCTAACGGTCAACTATTAAATATTCAATATAAATAAAACTGCAAAATTAAAAAAATCTGGTGCGCGCAATACACAACTTTCACTTACCGCTCTGCTTCGAATATGAATTATTTTCTGTCAGTGATGAGCTATTATAAAATTTTTAAAGTGCATTTTAAACGGAGCTAAAGCTTACAGAAACAAAAAAAATTAAGACCATTAAAATTACAAAAAGTCTTATTTATTATATCGACGGTAGACAATAAAAATATAGTTAATCCATCTGCTTTTATAAACCGTACAACTTCCGTTCAGTCTCTGAGCCTTTCAGTTAACAGAATGCCTAACACCAATTTCAAAATTTTTGAGTAATGTCATTTTAGTGATATTTCTAGTTGGAAAAGTTATATCTATAAAGATAGTGAGTAAGTTGATTCCGTAATAGATGATAGTAGTGTAGAATTATAGAACTGTGTAAAATTAATAATCACTAAAATTAATAATAAACAATATGAGAAGGAGTTGATCGGGGGGTGCGGTCAGATAAATACTAAATTAAGCAAGTAGTATTATTTATTTTTTGCCGACGTTTCGACCCACTTTGCAGGTCTTTATCAGGGCGTAGGATGTAGCACTGCGGGGGGCAGTTGAAACACTGGCTAACAAATAATAAATAATGTTGAAATTGGAGTTAGTCATACTGTCACTCGAAAGGCTCATATAGGCCTAGATACATTTGAAAGCTTATCTGATTATTTAACATTTAAATGATTATGGATTGTAGAACTATTATTTATTTTCCATTTTAAAGTTTACTAAAATAAAATTATGAGATTTTCTTTGCCTGCCATGTATTGGTCAAAAGTTGTCACACTAATTGCAAGTTGTTTTACTAAAATTTACTAAAATTTTACTTAATGATTTTTCGGAATAAACGGACGATAGATACCTAATTATTTAAATATAATATCAGATCTAGACTTATTAAACTACATTAAATGTATTTAAGGTCATATATCCATGAAACGTTTTTATGTTTCACTTTTTCTTTCGTACAAATACAATGAAATAGTATTTTAAGCAATGTTATTACCTTGATTCAGTGTATTTTAAATACTTTTTTTTCAAACGATCACAATACTGTCACTCACTATATATTACATATATAGATAAATGAAAGTAAAAATCATCACTATTAATATGCTATAATAATAAAAAGATCTCAGATCAGAGAACTAACACATAGAGAAACTAGTTAATCAATATCTCATGATGTGAAGGCACGGAGATTAAGATGGGAATCCTTCTGGAAGCCTTTACGTAACAATGAATGCCTCAATTTTTGCTCAAAGTCTAAAAACTAGATGGCTGGATAGAATCAACAAAGACGCAATAGAGCTGTATGCAGATAACTTGAATGAAATAGCCCAAGACAGGCAGAGATGGAGTAGGCTTCTAGTAGAGGCCAAATACGAACTGATAAATTTTAAATAAACCATTAAAAATAAAGAACATCTGGATATAATAAATCCTTTACTTTCGGAGGGGGGAGGCAATCCGATGAGCGGGTGTACGCCGACAGCTGCGATGAAGCAAACAATGCCTCCTCGATCCCGGGGAAGCGAAGTGCCTCCTTTGGCTATTGCTTACATTGTAGCTTTAGTTACGACTTCCCTTCTTACGGAGTCCCTAAACAAAACTCTAACGGGTCCCTAACCTATCTGAACTTGTTCGTTCTATTCATCCTTGTAGAGGATTTGGATATAACAAGATGGCTTAGAGAGGATTTTTATTCTCGATAATGATTTAGGATATTTCCGATTATTTGTGTTTTACCATCACCTCCGGACCGAAAAATAAAATAGTAAGTCTGAAGGGCTCTACACCCTACGTATAAAGGACAAATCAAGAAACCCCAGGGTTTCTATAGCAACTGCAACAATGGCAGCGATGACTATAAAACTCATTTGTAGCATAGATAACTTTGTTGTTAGTGATTTCTGAGTGAAACTCAATTTGCCCGAATTTGGTTGTTAAAATCTTTTCAAACCAACGCCACAATATGGAGAATGATCTTTTAGATTAATAAAGGAAGGAGATGGTCCGGGGTGGCGGTCATAAATAGGCTAAATAGTAGCAAAACTATTCTATTAAAAGCTAACGTTTCGATCCAACTTTGCAGGTCTTCTTCAGGGATGTGTGTTCAGCTAGGAGTTTCACTTAGAACTCAAATAATATAGTTTTACCACTATTTAGCCTATTTATGACCTCCACCCCGGACCATCTCCTTCCTTTATAATGCAACGGACAACTATTAAATATTCAATTTTAGATTAATAGTTTGTTGATGATGAATGACATTGTGAAATATAATATAATTGTGAAATATGACATTGTATTCAGTATTATTCTAACCTGAATGTGTAGGATGAAATTCATTCCGTAGTTATCTTACAAAATAAATTTTAGAACCATCACAGCCTCCTATTCAGCTGTCTTTATAATTTGTAATATCATGTCCTTAATCCAGATAATTTTGGAGTTTGGGGAGATCTCCTCGGACATAGACCAGAAGTAGATGACCGCATACATAGTATAGGTGTTTCCTTCCCTCAACCAATCAGAACTACCCCAGCTGTTCAAATAGTAACCCTCATATGTTCCCGATTCCTTAGGGAAGTCTCTTCTCTTCGGCCTTCGTTAATATTAATGGCCATCTGTAGCCTCCTCATCGGATTACTCCTGCCTCTTTAGCATGCACACCTTAGCTTTGGCTGTTAGCACAGCCCTGAGGTTATTGCTTCTACATATTATAGTGGATGTTACACGGAATGACAATCTCAATAACACTTCAATCACTGTGGTCTCTACACCTATCAATCAGACAGATTTCAGCTCTGTTGTTGAGATATTAGGCTGTATGGTTTTGGCTTTTTGTCTTTTAATAATGTATTTTATTTTTAAAAAAAGCTTGTTTGACCATTATTCTTTATAGCATTGAACGTCAAGAAAAAAGTGCAACTATATTAATTAGTTTTCATAACCCCCAAAAATTAAATAGTAATATTAAATTGTAAAATTAGTAATAGTTTTCGATCTGTCTTACATACGGAGTGGCTCAGTTCTTATTTTCCAAACTTTGGGGGGTGGTTCAAGACAAAATTTACAAAAAAAAAAATTCATTTCATGTATGTAAAGATTTCCAAACGGAAAAGGTTTTTTTTTTTTTTTTTAAGATATTGAGTAAGGAGAAATTGCTCAAAAACTGTTCAAGATAATTAAATTCTAAGTACACAATCGAAAACTAGACAATCTTTTTACTTTCCTACCTACACTAGGTAAGGAAAGTATTGCGATCGGATCAAATTTCCGATATGAGGTTTTCGACGGATCTATACGTTTCAGAGCCCCCTGAGTCCAAAAAACATATTTTAGCCATTGGTCTGTCTGTCTGTGCCAAGATTTTCTCAGAAAATACTGAACCAATTTTCGATGAAATGAAATTCCTTACAAAACTATATAAAAATCGTTCATTTTGGACAATTATTAACGGAGTTACAGCTATTCAATTTCCTATGTAAGATTACGGGTACGATCATGGTGCCAGAAAGGGGTGAATGAGAGAAAAAAGATGACTAAGTGAAAGTAAGAAATTCTGTTGCTCGGATCACTCAAGCTTCACTATTTCCTCTACTTTTAACAGAAATTACTGTTTAACATAATTAAGCTATTGAGTATTGAAATGTTTACACTGATCTACCTTAAGCCGGTTTACATTGCTTTAGTTTATCAAATAAATCGTACTTAAATCTTTTCTTTGAACAATTTTCAGGACAATCAATCTAATTCAATTTTTTTTTTTTTTTTTTGTTTCTTCATCAACATATGTAAAGATATAAAAATTTTGCTGAAATAGGTAGGAAAGTTGTGTGAGTGGACACACCAGATTTTTTTTTTTTTTATTTTTTAGAAAAGGTTGTTTAAATTTACTAAAGTCTGTGATAGAAGGCACTTTCTTGAGATCTAATACGGCCGCTGTACAACTGCTGTGACAGTACTGTACTCATACCCGAGCAATATATCTCTGTAATCCATATCTGTAATCCAGATTCATGAAATAATACGCCATAATGTTAGGTTTTGCGATGTTACACCTCCTAAAAGTCCCTTATATCATTGACCTTAGTAAATTTAATCAATGTTTTCTCAAAAAGATTTTGTCTACTTTACGATGGGGAATTTAATTATCTTGAATATTGAGGAATTTCTTCTTATTCAATAAAAAAAAAACCTTTAGGCACTAGCAGATCCACGATTCAATTTTTTTTGGGGGGGCTTCAGCCTGAAGGATTTTTTTTTCATATATATAACGATAATTAATTTGAAAAAAAAAAAGAAGAAAGAAACTAACTACCCATATGACGTGTGGTCTTAGTGATTCTTGAAGTCCTATTAAATGTAATTACACGAACAATAATAGTTTAAGAGATAGTTTTAAATATTTTTTTTCTATAAAATATGATTATATTTTACCATTTGGGGGGGGCTTCACCCCGAAAGCCCCTCCTCCCCCGTAGATCCTCCTGTGCCCTTAGATAAAACATAAAATTTGTCTTTAACTCGTTTTCCGTTCGGAGTCAAGAATCATCCCCTATAGTCAGGTCATTAAGAACTGAGGCATCCTATATTATAATATTTATATATTGACTTATTAGAGAATATAATACAACCTAAACAACTCCTGTACATCAAAGCATCTATTTTGTATTTTAATTAATTAATTTTTCATCGGCCGTGAATCTATTCTGGGGTCAGGAGACCCTCCTGTGGCACACCCAGCCTCTATAAAGTTGGCACTCTTAATTTATCAATTAATTAAGAGAGAAAACCTGACGGTAGAGCGTGATCTAGGCCTTATCACTTTGCACAACCGTTGACTAAGAAAAAGTAATTAAGGAATAAAGGATTTATTAAAGCCTATTGGTTTTTATATTATAATTGGAATTAAAAATATAGTTTTTATTATTTCCTGAAAAAATGACAATGAGTATAAACGACTTAAATTTTTTTATTTTTCATATGTTTCGTAATCTTTTGGGAATTTTAACGTTCCTCTAGAACCCATCAGGCCTTTCCTGAAGTCATCATCAATTGCTGGACTCAATCGATTAATGGAATTAGCGCTAATTTTAGAGAACTTGCCATGTCTAAATAATTCTATAAACTTTTTATATATACAAATCGATTCTTGATTCGATTAATTTAAATATTATATTAACAATAGATCGATTGTGACTTGACTGATGAGCTATACAAGTTGAGGGTGCCCCCCCGAAAGGAATTTTGACGATAGTGTCCCGGCATCGATCGGAGCAGGCGCACTGGCCAGTTGCTCTCCTCACGTTCAGTTGACTTCTAGTTGGTGTCAGTGTTTGTGTTTGTTGTGTCGTGTCTTCGTCTCTCCTTGTCTGTCTCTATCACAACGGTTTGTTTACAATAACATTTCTTATCTTATTAGTATCACTACTTATCTAAAACTGCTTCATTAAACGTTACTTAAGTAACAAGACTTCGCTTTGACAATTGTATTCAATTTAAACACCATTTTATTCATATATAAGAAGAAAAAAAACTCAAGTTCTTCAGAAGAACTGACAACTTGATTAAAACGAAAACATTAAAACTTTCTACTGTTTATTTATATTATCAATAAATAAAATAATATTATATTTATTTGTTAATATTTCAATTTAACTAGTTTTATTTATATGAGTTTATAAGGATATGAAATTATGTTGTTAACGAATCATGGCTTATGGATCCACTGCCTATTGAATTATTCATGGCTTGATTCACCAGTCATTGGTGATAAATTATATAGAGTCTTATTAACAATGTCCGGTTTGTTATATTATGTAATACATTTTTTTTAGTTTATAATGTTTTAATTTATGTATGTTTAATATTGTTCAAACTTTTCTAATAATATTTTATTTTAATTTACAATAAAACAATTATGAAAGTGGTTATTTTTCAATTAACATTATTTTGTTAGTTTATAAAAAGCTATTAAAACAACATAGTTAATGCTTGATAATTTAATAGATTTAACAATACTTGAATTGAGAAATAAAGATTTTTAAAAAATGCAAAATACTGAGACATTTTAAAGAAAAACCTAATCTTTTATTATCGGTTTAATTTCTTTAACCTAGAAACAGATTAATAAGTCGAAAAAACATTTAACTGTAGTTTTTTTTTCTTGAGGATATTTTCGTTTTAAATTTGTTGTTGACTCTCTATGTCTATGTAAGAATTTCTGTATAATTATATCCGAAATTCACACACAGCTTTTTAAAAAAACTGTGTGTGAACTTAATATAATTTATTTATGATTATTTAATCACTTCTATCAAAATATTAATTGGCCTCAAACTATGTATATATATATATAAATTCATTGTCAATATTATAATAGCTATTGTTTAAAAATATCAAACTACCATTTTATTCTATTAAATGGCTAATAGGGTTTTATTTTGGATTTTAAATTCAACTGGTAATTGTTCAATTTCCATGAACAATTGTGACACATTTAAAAACATTTTTTCATAAATGTTTTTATTAGCAGCTATGTTTATTGATGATGTATTCTGTTTATTAGTTGTTGTTTTTATTGTAAACAGTTAATTAACTCTTACAAAATAAACAACTGATTAAATCATACAATATAAAATATTTTCCAATTTTTGTTGGTATTCAGTAATAAGAAATATTTGTTATTCCATATTTATTTTGAGGTGTAGAAATGCAAAATAAGATGAATTTAAATTTGAATTTTTCTTTTTCAGGAAATCCAAAACTATGCATAATTCATATTATTGTGTGTGTTTTCTTTTTAAATAATTATTATCATTATTGGATCAGTAGTTATGTAGTTGTCATAACTACAACAGAAATAAATTTGTAAAATATTGTACCTTTTGAATAATTAAACGTGTAATGCCTTAAAGATATGGTTAATTGCATAAAAACAAAAAAACAATATTGAAAATGACATAAAAACAAAAAAACAATATTGAAAATGACAAAAAATGAAGTTATTTTATTTTATACCATTCACACTTTGTGATATATTTTATGATATGTTATCAATTTGTTCTTTTAAACTTACTATTGTTTTCTCTCTTGATCGCACTATAACTAACTTCTTGATTATTTGGTTTGCTATTAATGCTTTTGTCCTAGTTGGTGGTTCTAACATTTGAAATTCAAATGTTTTGGTTAATAATGTATAATTGTGTGTTCAGTTTTGTATATTTGTAAGTGAGTTAAAAATTATTGAATGAATCGGAAATTTCATTCTAAAGCTTAAATTTTTTTTTTTTTCCATTTATCCATTCTGTTCATTATAAAGCTTGAGCACAAGATAATTTCTTGAATGAGTTGTAAATAGTTAGTCATTTTTAGTATAAATGAACATTAATCACATCTTTTTTAGACCTTAAAATATTTTCTGCAATAGTAAGTGTTAAATAAATGTGTTACAAAGTCGTTCCTATAATTTATTTCCTTTAAGAAACTTCAATAGGATTTGAAAAAAAAAATTCATGGTTAAAATTGTGTAGGACTAATTTGAATTTCAATAAGATATAATACACCTTAGGAAATATGAAGAAAATTGTTATTTAAGTTTAGTTTTTATTCTTTTATTTACAGAATGATTCCTACATTATTTAACATTAAATATATTGTTTCAGAGGTGTCAAGGCCGGGTCAAATTTTTTAAAGGAGAACCATCTTCGCAACGGTCTCGAACCAAAAAATAATAACCAGTGAGTATTAATATTTTTATTTTTATTATAATAAACGCTAAGAGATTTTTTTTTTTTAGTATTAATAATATATAACATATTTTATTTAGTAATGAAATCAACGGTTCGAGGAATTGTGGCAATGCTGAGCTAGATCTGTCCGGAACGGAAGGACATCACCTCAAGGTAATTTATTTATTGATTATTTTATGATTAATTTTAATTAATCAAATATTTATCTATTAGAAGTGATTACCATTTATTTGAAAATTCCCATGTTGTGCCAACATTTTTGAAATGTATTTAATGTTTTTATTACCTAAATTTGACTGCATTACTGCTTTAAAAAAAAAAAAATGAACAAACCCTTACTTCCGTTTACAACCACGACATGCCTCATTGTTTTCCTTAAGTATTTTTTAGTAAGTTTTAATAAAAATAAAAGAATATATTGTGGATACTAGGTGACGAGTGGAATGTTGTAAATTTTATATTAAAGAATATATAACTATTAAGATAAATCATCTGTGAACATGAAGTCCAATTTAAGGCCCGCAGTATTCATTTTGAACGTTTGAGAAAAAAAAAAAAATCACTTTAAATAATATATATTATCGGTTTATTGCAAAAAGTTAATAAGAGATGTTAAATAACCTCAAAAATTATGAACGTTGATGAAGTTTCTCTTTATGAAATAAAATAATTCTGCTCTATTTGTTGGTTGGTTGGTTGTTATATAGTAAAGATGTAAAAACCTGTTGGTTTCAATGTTTTTAATTAAGATTGTATTTAATTATGTCTGTTGTTTGTGATTAATAGAAATAAAATAAAATTATTAAAGTTAATGCATTAAGTTTAAAAAATAAATAAAAGAAGGAGAGAGTGCTGCATAAGAGATTCAGAGATTTTTAAATATTCCTCTTTCAGAGACATAACATATAACTTTACTCAAGATTTTTTCATTATTTCCCTAAGCAGTTGATGTATTTTCTGTCTCCACCACTGTCACTGTCTCTTCACTCTTTCGACAAATGGGTAGGTTTTCTTTTGTAATTAAGTGAACGTGTGTAAACCTAGTACGACCTGTTCTTGCATTTTTTGTTGTAACTGTAGATGATAAATGAATCGGTTTGTGTCATTTATGCACTTACAGTGTTTTTTTTTATAGGTAAATAAGATTGAGATATTGCAATAAACTGATGATATATAATAATACTATTTATATAGGATCATGCTAATAAAATGAGAAATAATATATGCTTCAAATACAAATTATGCTTGAAACCGTTTCATGAGTGATAAATAGTTAGGATGTATTCATTTTCACGGTTTTTATTAGTGCTGACCTATGATAGAACAGTTGACTAACCTCCTTCAATGATTTAGAAACCGTTCCATTTTTGTAAAAACTTCTATTTTTACTAACCATTGAATATAACTACAAAAAAACCAAAATGTATAGAATGTTACTCTATGACTCATTTTGTTCCATTGCTTCTAGTTACAAATTGTTAAATAAAGAGGCTCTCTTAAAGAGCCAAATATAGCTCCGTTGTGGATAGATGCTTAAATTATCCCATATTAATGATGTATAGATGATTGACCATGATATAATATGAGAATGAGTTGGTCGGGGGATGCGGTCAAATAAATACTAAATTTTAAAAAATAGTATTTTCAATGAAATACTACCAACTTCTTCTCATATCCCATATTAATATTAATAACTTTTGTGATTCTATTAATGTTTTTTTTTTTCATTTCTTGTATATAGTTTTCTCCTTTTTCATTTTTTAGTCTAACCGTATTGTCAACGGAAGCAGTGGGGGCGGCGGGCGAGGGGAAGGCCCACCCTCGCCGGCCCAACCCCACCCAGTCGTCTACAGGGTCATCGGCTCCAGGCACATAAAGAAAGCAGACAGCAGCCAGCAGACAGATACAAGTGCTTTCAGGTATTATATTATCTTATAAATATATTATATGTTATCTTTATATTAAAGCATTTTATTAATATAATTTTTTTTTTTAGACAAGTCTGTCCATCGAATCAGTGGAAAAGCAGCAGCCTGCCAAGGGGCGATAGTAGAAGTGACCTAGAGAGGCGAGAACTGGAAGGCAGGTCGAGGGAGAAGAGAAGTCAGCAGGCATCCAACGGTGTTCAGAGGAAGCAGGAAAAGAAAAGAAGCAATGCTGGTAATTTTATTATTTGTTTGTACCGAGGCATGTTCGGCGACCCGGTTAGTACTTGGATGGCTCCGTATTAATATCATTGAATTATATCCAATATTTTCACTTACATGTCTACCAATATGTTTTTCTTAATATTTCAATATTTGATACTCCTAAAAGCAATAGATAGATAGATAAATAGATATTGTATTTGTTTTTGGAGGGTTCCCCATACAAATAGAGCCTAGCTTGGCTATTGTACAATAATATGGTTTTACAAATTTACATACATATAATTTAAATATAAATAAAATTTACAATATTTTACATTTAGAATGGGTTTCACAAAACATGAATAACAATAAAAATTAAAAACATAAAACGATTACTGCATAATAATGGTTATATGAACCTGTTACTATAATAGAAACAATAAAAAATAAATATAAACAAAATATTACTTTTAAGATAAACTAAAAACAAACACTTAATAGAACATGGGCTGTGATCAACAATTTTGTGTATGCACTTTGTGTACTCCCATCATATAATAGTAAACTTTATTTAATTTATCTATACAATCGATATTCAATATGGTTTCGATGTGGTGGTTATCAGAAGATTCTGAGATGAAGTTATTGAGGAATTTTTGTCTATAGTCATTGTATGCTGGGCAGTGAAGGAGAATGTGATGTAGACTATTGTAAATAAATTGACTGGATGATATACAAGTTTCTTGAGACTCAATCGAAAAAGTTCTGTTTTTTGCATAGATTCTGATATATTCTGGGTTTGCAACTCTTAATTGACTAACACATCTCAATTTCTTTATATGGACTTTGAATGCAAGGTACGTTTCGGGATCGGGAGCATTGTAACTGCGTAGCATTCTGTATAAAGGGTAGTTAGTGGAGTTCAAAGTTCTTTGCATGTCGACTGAGAAATAATAGTTGTGTGCTTTTTCAAGGATGTCGTATTTATATCGAAGAAGTCCGTTTGTGAGGTGAACAGAAAGCTGCAAGGCATTAAGCTCGGCTATTGCTCTAAATTGAGACACCCAATTGAAGTCCTAAAAGCAATATAAGTGACAAAAACTAAGTTTTAAGTAAAATATGGTTTAACATCTCTCATAAGAGCAGTGAATTTTCTGGATTGGCAGATTTGCTTTTTTATAAGTCTATTAGTATTTCTATAACTATTCTGACAGCTGATACTGATTTTTACCATATTTAAAAAATCGTATAAATTGCACTTATATTGCTTTAAAACAGAGTGAAAAATAACTGTACAATCACTGTATCAGTGTAGCAATTTATTTTAACATTTGGATTTCTTCTATGTAAGAGTCCATTTTTATATCACTTTAAAATTATAATTTTTGTTTGTATGTTTTTCACTGTAACTCACAACCAATCTTCCAGTAAAAAATATTTGCCAATGTTTGAATCATTAAAAAATATATGAGTGCCTTCGTATCGATGATGGACACATCTGTAATTTTCAGTAAGTGGAGAAAAAGTCAATTTTTATTATTGCTATAAATTTGCTGGCAATAAAAACTTCAAATATATACCAAATTGTGTATTTGCTATAATTCATTCCAAGTTTACGTTTTGGGATACAATTCCCATCTTTCATAAGCAATTAATAGATAAAACTTCGTGTGCTCCTTTGTCATAATCTAAAAAAGTTTATTATATATAAAAGTAATATCTGGGCGGGGTGGCCGAATGGGTTAACGCGTGTGCACTGCACCGCCGTTGCCCGGCAACCCGATATATGAATCAAAATAAAAATATAATAAAAAAGGCTTAGCGAACCCGAAGGTTCGATGCCGACACCACCAATCGCCTATTACACACCTCCCTCCACCGTTCGCCGTCGAAACCCAGTCCCTTCAGATCGACTTTAATGCAATCTTCCCACCTTCGCTTCAGTCTACCCCTTGGACGCTTACCATTCGGCACAGCAAATATTAACCTTGATATATGAATCAAAGATATAAAAATAGTCACGAGTTCGCGTCCCGGTGCCGGGGGAGTCTTTTAAATCCCAGCCCACACCCCCGGGCCCAGGAAAGCCCCGTATAGCCTTAACGGCAAGGAAGGGGACAAAAAAAAAAAAATAATATCTGGAGCAACACATTTATGGGAGTACTAATTGGATATGTCTGTTAGCTACTTGAAGAAGAAGTAAACTAGAAACGTAAACTTGGAATAAATTATAGTAAATGCACAATTTGTTATATATTGCAAGTTTTTATTGCCAACAGCAAAGTAATTTAAACAGCTTCGCAACAAGAAAAGAAGAAGTCAATTTTTGTTTTATGGGTTAAACTCAAACTGTTTCTGAATATTTTACATTGAAGCTACTACAAAAATTGGCTTTTTTGCTACTTTTTAGAAATGACAATGTCCATCTTCGATATGAAGTCACTCTTATCATATATATATCAGAATCTTTGACTACATATAAATTATTTTAAATTTTTGTGTTGTACGATTTTCAGGATCTAAAGAGGAATTAGACGTTGACTACTGTAATGAGGAGAGAACTACTAAAGGAGGGAGCAGCAGCGGAAGCAGTAGCAGCAGCAGCAGCGGAAGCAAAGGGAAGAGCAAGGGAGTGCCGCCGACGTTCGGCTACGTCAAGAGGTCCATCAACGGCAACGTCAGCGACTCCAGGACTGCTCAAGTCGCCGGCGTTCCCAGGACAAAGGTTTTTACTTTACAAAGCTTATTAGTATACCTACTTTTTTACAATGATAGATGAAATAAATACACACAAAAAAATAAACCTTATTTTATTGTTTGTCAACATTTCAGCCTTATGAGTTTTAGGCTTTCAATAAGAAGATAACAACCAATCAGAAAACAGTGAGAAAAACATTATATCAAAGAAGTAACAAAATATAAACTGTTTAAAAATTTGGAGTAGAAAAATGGCAATAATAAATCAAATATGTTTGTTTATAAATAATGATGAATAAAATTAAATGAGGATGAGATATTCTTATTCAAAATTAGATGTATTGTATACGATAGGGGTGCCCATCTCCCCAAGGCCGTAGCGCTTAAACCTTCCTCCACCCTTCCGTAGATATTTTATTCCTCTCTTCTTCTTAAAAACAGTGCAAACAATAGTATAATTTTAATGTTCATAGATTATATACCATTACACATCCTGCGATCTGTTCCACGATTTTACTTGTATTTTGATTTGAAACTTTTCATTTTGAAAATTCATAACCTCGTCGGATTCTGCCCCCCTCAAAAATTGAAACCCATGTGAAGAAGTATCCCCCTCATTAATTTTTAAGGCAAAACCTGTGCCATAAAATCCCCTTCTGGGCACTCCTGGTATATGAATATTGGATTTTATGTTATGAGATCATGATACAAAACTGTTAAATCTTATTGTTTAATTTGTCTATATTTGCACGTATATATATTTGGGTTTTTTACAATATTTTCATACTGTTTTTCTTTCTATTTTCTTATTGGTTGTTATCTTGTTTTTATTTATACTTAAGCCTGATGTAAGCTTAAAACTATTTTATTTCATCTTAATTTTAAATGTTTTTCATGGGTAGAAATTAATCATGAAAATAGTGTACATTAATAAAAAACCTTATTTTGTGAATATATTGTAGTTGAAACCCTATAGTACAATGTTTATTTTTTCAACATAAATTAAACAACTTCATACACTATACATGTTTATTAGACTTTCTGCGGAGTAATCTGTGCTTTATAAAACATCATTAATCTCTCAAAATAAATAAATAATACCGAGCAATGTTTGTTTAGTTTATTCAACTAATTATTATTTTTAAAAAGTACGTGGTTATATTCTAAAACAAAGAGATGTCTATTATTCCAAGCCCTCACATGATAATTTTACAATGCTTGCCAATCTTTATCATTCATCTAATTAATGCTTTCCTCTTTAGATTACACACAACTTTGAATTCTGATAACGCTCGACTAAAACATATATATCTTCCACAGCTCTATTATTACAAAATGTATCATAGTATATCTCTATTGCCAGACCTACATTAAACTTAAGACATGAAATTTGTTCCCTTATTTTAATTATCAACTTAAATAGAACCAGTCCGCATTTATCAGAGATATAACCGCTCTCCTTAAATCTTAATTTAACTCCTTATACAACTGATAATAGGAATAAATACTAACACCAACTAATAAAATTATAAAAATATTTTTTATAACTTATTGAAAAGAAGATTTGTAGGGATGATCAGTAAAAATAAGTAAGTTGTACTTATTTTTATTTTTGCCGATGTTCAGGCCTTCATCAGGGTTAAGAAAAAAACAGATAACAATAGATATGAGAAACTATAAACATTAAAAAGAAAAAATAATGTGTAGGTGAAAGGAATAGTATGAAAAATGTAGGAAAAATAAATTTAAAGTAAAGTAAAGTAGGTAGAATAAAATTAAAGGAAATGTAATAATGGTCGTCTTAACGTCCATATACGTGAGCTTATATAGACAACCATCTGAAAACCTCACGTATCCACTTTTTCAACCTAACATATGTTTTATTGATAAATAATCAAAACATTTATTATTGATTTATATAATTTAGACGAACAGACTATAAAAAGCCCAATGAAATTTCTAAATAAACAATAGACTATAGATAATTAATAAAACTTAATCTAAGGAGTAATCTAAACTTAACTATTTATAACTAAACAACAAGAACTTAAGGACTAACCTAAAGTTGATATAAAATTTACTAACTAATATAAATCTGAATAACGTACAAAAATACCAAAGACTTCATCCATATAAGTCCGCTTCTTCCAGCAGTTACAGAGATAGAGAGAGAGGGAGAGAGAAGTGAGAATTAACGTTTCCTCTAACGCACATAGGTCTCTTCACCTTTTCCAATCACTGTTTCCTTCAATCTCCTAAAAACATCTGACTCTCTCTCTCTCTTTACACTGCCTTAATGGGCATTCACTGCCACATAAATTAACTCTTTTGTTTGGTGCACTACAGAAATATAAAATAACTATAACAAAGTTAGGGTTAGAAAGTAGCGGAAGCAAAGTTAGGATATATAACATAACGGTAACGAAGTTAGGAAATTATGAATGAAATAATAACACTAACAGAGAACTATAAAACAAATAATAACGGCTACAAAGTAGGGACTAATGAAATAAGGTAACATAAGAAATGAGAAATTAATTAACAAAAAAATGTAATGTATGAGATGAAAAACGTTAGTGTAGAAATAAAATAAATGGGGTGACGTAGTTGCTAAAATATGATTGTCTTAGCAGAGTTTATAACTTATGTTTCATTTTCAGGTGAAAGTATCCGGAGGCACTCAGACAGAGTACTCGCTGAGCCCTCAGCTGTCGGCGGGTACCAGGGAGAGGCTGATGATGGCCTCTCCAAAGCAGAGGCACATCGACGGCTCACTCTCAGACTCCAATTACGCAGAAATCTCGAGCCCGTACAGCTCTTGGTTGAGGCACAGCGGAGCGTATACTGCGTCGCTTCCAGCCAGGACAACACCAGGTAAGATAAGAAAACTTGAAAGTAGCGTAGTATTTGAGAATGTTGTAGCATTTTTCTAGTACTTATCATATTTTCGTCATTTCGGTATAATATGTAATGGGACCCTGCTGGGGTTGCATATCGAGTATTTATCTTTTTTTATTAACTTAAATTAGTGTTAATCCATGATTTGTGTAACCATAGTTAATTCCCAATCCTTTCATATTTTACAAATATTTGGCAAACAATTTGTCATTAGTGTGAAACCGATGAATAATTTATCTTATGAGTTTCATAGAATAAACATTATCTTTATTATATAAAAAAGTTTTTAGTGACTCATATTTAATTTTACATAGACCGACCATGAAATAGAGACCACACTTCTTACTCTCAAAAAATTTAACACACTAATCAAAGAATATAAATGAACCATTTACAGGCCCGTCACTAGATTAAGACACACCATAACTATATAGTCCCTCCCATAAAACTTCCTCCTTCAGCAAATCCTTCGTCATTCGTGCTGCATCCTTATGGAACTCATGCGTCCATGCGTCAATCCTCGTCCACAAATTCCTTCAAACAACTCCTGTTCCACCATCTGCTCCACATTCAAACTTCCCCAAACATGTAAAATTACTTGCATCTATACAATGTTTAATTTCTATCTATTGCACAATTGAAATAACAATTAACAGTAAATTAGTTTGTATTTTTATTATGTCAGACTAAGACCCATAAATTTGTAACTCTGTTATTATTGTTAGGGGACAGTAGTCTGAGAATAAAATTATTTTTCCATTTCATAACAACCAATGACCAAAGTACTTCCAATTCCTCATCTCTTAAAATGTACCCCGTGAAGTAAAAGAGATCATGTTTAATCCTCATCCTCCTCCCACCACATCCTATGAGGTTAAGAATATTAAACAAACATTTAAATCACAGACAATACACAATATTTACAATGAAACTCAGTTTTCCCGCCTCTAAAGCATTATGTGTTACCCCTGAATAGTGTTGCCATGATACGAGATTCATTCTCCTGTGCTCCCCCACACTGTATAACACTATTTACAAACAAATATTTTATTGTCCATGTATTCTACTCTTTTTTTTTTTCTCCCCTTCCTTGCCTGTTAGGCTACATGGAGTTTTTTCCCTGGCTGGGAGAGAGGGAGAAATATGCCATTAAATGTCCCACCGGGCACCAGGATTTGAACTCGTAATTATCTGTTTATCTCAAATCTTGGTTATCAGGTTGTCGGGCAACGCATGGTGCTGTGCACATGCTTTAGCCCGCTCAGTCACCCCATCCTACCCCATGTATTCTACCCTGTTATCTCTCCACTCAGTTTTCCCTCCTCTTAGGTATTAAATGTTACTCCTTAATAGTGTTGCCATGATACAAGATTCATTCTCCCATGCTCCCTCACACTGTAGTTCCGTTCCATTTATTTTAAGTTGTTTAAAAAAAATTCAATCTGAACTACAGAATCATTTAAATTAAATTTATACAATTTGAGCAACATATAGTACAATTAAATGAACAGTTGTATTATTTGTAAAATAGGGATTAAATGTAATCTTAATATTGATTAATGATAATAATTATTTATTATTAACTTATAATTAATTATAATTATTATTGAACTTCATTGATTTTATATTGTTTTGAACTTTGAAGTAGTTGGGTCGATGATAGAGGCGGAGAGCATAGAGTCGCTGCCGGCGCAGCTCCACCATCGAGCCAGCCTCACCCATGCCAGGCTCATCGGGTCTCCTGCGACCGCTCCAAGGCTCAGCAGAAGCAACAGCATCAGGTATGTCAGCGTAATCTTGAAATAAATTTAAAGCATGCCGATTCTGCAGCCTCGGCAATGTCAATTATATTTCTTTTATACTGTGTAAATATCTATTGAAATATTTGGATACAGAATGTTAGAGGAGCATGAATTTATGACTGCATTTTTATCTTAGTTTTAATGTTTTGTTAGTTTATTTCTTCATACTAATATATACAATATTCTTTGATAAGTTGACTATATTTAAAACATCTCTTCAATTAACTCATTTTTAATAACTTTCTCGCAAGTTCTTTTTTTAATTCATAGACTGATATTTTTTACTATGTATAAAATAAATATTATCTTAAATTTTTCATTAATTTTGCCTTTATATATATGAAATATAGATAGGAGAAGTATTGCAATCATGAAGGGTTTGATATCCAAGTTCTTAATGGAAATACACATTATATGGTCCACTGAGACCAAATAAATAAAACTCCCAAAATTGCCAGTGTATAAGCTCATAAACAAAAAGATATAGGGAACTGAAATTACATATTTGAGCGATATTTTCACTAAAATATAGTTAATGGAAGCCTTCGTCGATTTTACAGTTATCTGCAATTTTCCCGAAAAAGGCTTTTAACAATTTTGATTATATCTGTTTAATCAATTTGAAATTAAATGGTCCTTCAGCTAGTTCTTTTTCTCTTTGAAACAGTTTTAAAAAGGGTTTTATATTAAACTTTCTAAAGTACCTTTAATTTTGTTTCTTTGAAATAATAAACCAGAATAGGATAGCTCAATGAATAAAGGGCTATGCTCTGAATCCTGGGTTTGAGTCCTACTCTGTGCAGGTAATTTTTTATTTCTGTTACATCACTTGTGGATCAACAACTCTATCCAGCGGGTAATCTTAATTAAAGAATTAATTATTGGAAAAACCTTGTGGTTGAGTTTGATCTCTGTGAAATCACCTCTATGCACAACTGTTGGACAAGAAACAGTATATCCTTAGAAAGTACTGAACCCAAGACCTCTCAAAGTTTCTAGAGGTCCAGGTTATTCTTTTTTTTCTGTTTTTTTAGAAATAATTAACTGACAGTTAATTGATGGCAGTTATTGCAAACCACATGCTCCCTGGATATCTTCAAGAAAAAAAAAAGAAAAACCTGTACCACTACGATCCATGAAAGCTCTTGGGTTCAGTAGTATTTAGAGAAAGCACTGTTTCTTGGTCAACGTTTGTGCAAGAAGATGATTTGACCAAGATCACGCTCAACCGTCAGGTTTATCCGTTAATTAATTATTTAATTAAGGGTACCCACTTTATAGAGCTGTGTATGCTCCATAAGGGTGTCCCAACCCAAGTTTGCCCCACGGCCAATGAAACAGAAAAATAATTTTTCTGCCATTAGCAGGGATTCGAAGCTGGGATTTTTAGCATTGGAAGCTCAGTACCTACCACTGAGCTACCCCACTCCAGCCCTGGATATCTTCAAGAGAACCAAACGATCCTGCCACGCCTGTCTTCTGTAAGAGCCCAAAGTTGATAGAAGATTTGTGATGAAAGCTGAAAGTAAAGAGGCATAAGGAAAAAAACAACTTTCGTTGTTAGAAATAATAAAAAATCGGGTGCGGTGTGTGCATCATACAACTTTCATTTACCAACCTTAGGGTAGATAGGTATTTTAATATACTTATAGGAAGTAAAAAGGAAAACTATGGTATAACTTCATTTAAAACAATTAATTAAATGGGTTTTTCTCACCCATCGAATCTGTTTAATTTACATATTTGCATTGCTTTTCATTTCCTTTTATGACTATTTATAGTATCAAACAATACTAATGATTGTAAAATCATCTCACTATAAATATCATGAATTGAGAAATACTCCTATATATTTTAAAGGCTCTTTCTAATACCATGAAAATTATTCATCTACAGGAAAAATTGTGAAATATAAAATAAATTGTCCTTTAGGGGTAAGAGCTGAAATAAGAACGATATAAAAAAATGAAATAACCTCTTTATAGTTTATGTGCCCTGGTAAAAAGGAGTATAAATATAATTATGCACAAAAAAGCTATTTAAAGACTGTATTTACAGGGAAAAATATTTATGGATATCTTCGGAGGAGTGGGGATTATTGAAAAATTGATTCTTGAGGGAACTGTGCTGGGATGGGGATCATTTGAGGAAACATTCCTCAGAACGGAAATTAATCAAACCGTTCATTTTCCGTTCCTTAACTTTCACCACCTCTCCAATTGCTCGAAGGCTTTCTTTCATGAGCCTTCTATAACCATCTTATTTTAAAAAATGTATTTAATGTCCATAATATGAAACTGTAACACTGAATTAAATGAGGCTGGGAATAACTAAGCCTGAAAATAACTTTCAAAAAATGTGGTGCAGTGCACGCATCGCACAACTTGCACTTATCAATCTTAGAGCAGATTGGTATTTTCTTTTATGAATTCAAAGTGAAAACAACGGTATAACTTCATTTAAAACAATTAATTAACATGTTTTTCCTGCCCATCGAATCTTAAATTTATAAGTTTGCATCACTTTTCATTTCCTTTTATGATTATGTACAGTATCAAACAATATTAATGATTGTAAGGAAACTGGATCTTTTTTCTAAATTCTGAATTTTATCGGAAACATTTATCACGAAATTTGTCAAAAAAATTAACTCTATATACGTAAATATTGTATATTATTATATCCTCAACATATCGCATGAAAATCTTTTTAAAAACTATTGATAAGTGGGTATCCGTAAACGAAGAGGATTGGCTAAGGTTGGGCGCTCTCGACTGTTTCCATGCTTCTAACCCTTTTATTCCTCCTTTAGTTACCAATCCAATCAATCAAAAAAAAAAAAAAAACTTTAGAGGAAGAAATTTTGAATTAAAGAACATCAATAAGATTGAGACCTACATTATATTAAAAATCACTTAATTTTACTGAGGTATAATGAATTTAATCAAAATCATTAGAGCCGTTTTCGAGAATATTGTAAAAATGTGTAAAATCAAAGTGGCACTTCCGGTTTGTCTATGTTGACAAAGTTGTAACATCTCAGGTATGTATAGACCTTCAATACACAATTTTAGTTGAGTACGAATCTTCGTTTTTGAGCTACACTGTTCATCCTGACTTGGTTATTTGGACTCTGGGGACCTCAAAACGTGTATTTCTGTTGAAAACTAAGATTCGAAAATTTTCACGATTGCAATACTTTCCCTTGCTAAATATTACCTAAATAGGTAAGTGGAAGTAAGAAATAGGTATATATAAACTTTGATAGAATTTGATAATTTACTTAAAGAAGATATAATTTCCCATTAATAAATTATAAGGTGATTAAAAACTGCTTTATAGTAAACTAGACAAAATTTCCTTGTAATACAAGTAGTTTGTCTTTGTTAAAACCATTTAAAGAATACTTGTAAATTAACAGTTCTAAACATAAGATATTAAAAAGAAAACCCTACGTTTTAAATTTAAAATTTGTATTCACATAAGCGTAAATATTTGAATTTCCAGAAATGAGAGTGGTAATGTACATGTGAGAGGGTTTGAATGATTGTAGATAAGTCTGATTTCATATCTGTGCATCTTTTTAGTTTCTAATAGTGAAGGAAGGTGAGAAAAAAAATTGTAAAATGTCACATAAAAAGTATAAATTGTCTTAAATCAAACATTTCTTCTATTGTGTAACTTAAATTCACTTACTCATTGTTAGAACTTCCAAATTAAATGTATTTAGCTTCTAAAACATGTAGAGTTTAATTTTTTATTTTTTATTTTTGGTATTGTATTTTTATTCAATGAAGGAGAAGGTATAGACATAAAAAAAAATATGTAAATTTCATAATCAAATTAACACCTCCTTTCATTTACAAAATGCTTTAAGAATATTTAATTACAATTTAATATTGCAAGTCATTTTAATGTTTTTATTCTTACGTGAAATAGTTTTATGTTTATCTTAACAGCATGTAAAAGATATGTCAAAGCATGTACGATAGTTATTTTAATGTGTCATACTTTTCAGCTATCTCAGAGATCGGACGTTCCCAAGGTAGGGTTTGATATTAAAACATGGCTTTTCTGTCCGTTTACACATATATCGCTTTCTTTTTATTTATTATTTTGTATTTATTAATTTCTTTAAAAGCACAGTTGTGTTGGTTCATCATCATGAAGGACATAAAATTTGTTATTCTCATTCACATTATTGTGATTTGTTGTATATCTATGTTCATGTAAGCTTAAGTGATTTTTATTTCCCGCATAGTTTTAAATATTTCCAATTTCTGAGCACAATGAGCATGTATGTGGATTTTAACTTTTTTTCTTTTTTAAATGTTATTACATCGCATGTTTCTATAAAAAGTTTCTCTATGAAAAATTTAATCATATTATCATCAATCATCGGTAGTTATTTGCGTTTTGGCTTTATTTTTTTTTATTTTTCTCATTTGTATTTGTCTCACTTGTCATTGTCGCGTGTTTCAAAAATCTGTTTGTTTTTTTTTTTGTTATTATTTCTGTTTCTTGAGCTAATGCTATTGTAAATATATTATGCTATGTTGCTTCTTTTTCTTTAACAGATCGACTAAATCAGAAAAGCTTTACCCGTCGATGCTACAACGTTCGGAAGAGGTCGAACCTTATTATAGCATACCCTATAACATCGGTGTGGGTCATCACCATTCCTCGCAACCAACCAGCCCGACTCCTAGTCAGCTTTCTCAAGGAGCTCCCAATAGGTATAAATATATAAATACACTTTATATAAATTGAAAAAAAAAAATGAACTTTAATAAATTTATCATTTAATTCTCTTTTTTCTGTTTTAGGTTTAATTATCCAATATCTCCTGTTAGTTCTTCACCTTCTAGTCACGGAATGAGCCGCAATTATATCGGCATCATGACCAAAATGAATTCGAAAGATGATGATGGTAATCATTTATTGTTTTCAAACTTCTGGAAAAAAAAATCTTAAGTTTAAGTTTTTAAAATAAATTTAAGGAAGAAACAAAGTTTCTTTAATGAGTTAGTTGAAGTTTCGACTCAAACAATGTGGGTCATCATCAGTGTTAAAAATTACAAAACATAAAAGAACATCTGTAGAATAATAAATATGAAAGTGTAAGGGTAATAAAAGTGAAGAATAAAAGTAATAAGAATAAATAAATAATAATATTAATTATAATATTAATAAGAATAAAAAAGTAATGTAATAGCAATATGAGTAAAGACTAAAATATATAAATAAAATTATATTTTTCATTTTTAGCCCTGATGATGACCCACATGTTTGGGTCGAAATGTTGGCTAACTCCTTAAAGAAATTTTGACTGAAGTTTAGTTTCATCTTTAAAATTCATTAGTCAACTATTTACCCATCTCTTAAATAAACTTTTAAAAAAATTAAATAAGTTTCAAAAAGTTTCATAGATGATTTTTTTTCAGTAAACAAAGTTATGTGAAATTTAGGCTTTTGATTTCTTTTCTGATGATTAAAATAGCTAATAATAATATAAATAAGTAAAAAATAATAAAATCATCAAGAAAATAAATGTTATAATATAATTGAACAAATTTCAACTACACCTTTTACCTCTCCAAAATGCAGGTAAAGAATAAAAAAAAAAACTGTTGAAGTTTTGACAATTCACACATTATCAGGACAGAAAAGAAAAACAAATCGAACATCACATCACTCTATTGAGTATGTGATTAGCTGTCATGGCGTTATGTGATCTTAGTATTTTCTTTTTTTTTTTTTTTTGTTTGATATAATGCATGAATTGGCGAAACGTTGACAGTTTTTAGAAATGAGAACTTCTTTAGGCACGTTTTGCATTTTTTTTGTGAAGCCGACTAATTGAAGTGTTTTTGCATATTGATTAAAATATCTCAAAAACTAAAAATCGAGCCTGCATACTGTAAGCGAGGGAATTGTTCAGCATTTCATCCTCTCTGTAATCGGCTATTATTCAAAATTGTATCTTAACACGACCCCATGTTAGAGAGGCGAAAGGGAAAAAAATAGTATCGAAAACCAAATTATAACGAGTTTTATTGTATATGTTTTTTTTGTTTTATTTTTTTATATATATATATATATATTTTATTGTATATGGATTAAAAAATCTCAGAAACTAAAAATCAGACCTGCATACTGTAAGCGAGGGAAATGTGCAGCATTTCATTCTCTTTATAATGAGCTGTTATTTATAATTTATATTTGATATTATTAATCTCGCCTTGTTGATGTTTTTATTTCTATCATGTGTTCTGTAGCACACACTTGTTTTTTTATTCTTTAACTTCATTTTGGAGACAAGATTGTGGTTGAAAATTTTCTAATTATAACTTAGGATAGATAATTATTTATAAATAAACTTTTGATAGATCAAGATTTCAACAGATTAATCATACCTTAAATTAGGCATAATGAAAAAATCAATTCCACCGCCATAAGTAGTTTATTAACTCTATCTATCTTTCAGATTAAAAATTTATAATGTCATGAATAATTTTTTTAATTAGTTTCTGCTATTTAGTCTTCTGGTTAAAATTATTTTTTTAAATGTTTTTCTTGAGAATCATTTCTTTTAGGATTAAAAATAAAATTATTTGTTTCTATATTTAGTATTATTTCATTATCGGTAATTCAGAGATTTTGTGCTTTATTAATATTATAAATATTTTAGTAAACATTAATAGTCAAAAAAGTCCAGAGCAATTGTAAAAATATAGATAAAAGTTCGATTCAAATTAAGCATTGTACTATTGCTAATTCTGGTCAAATTTTGATGGGTTTTCATTCATTTCATTGAAAAATTGTTTATCTTTTCAATTAAGTATCTATAATTTTCCACTCATTGAAAGTTTTTGAGTTATTCGGAAAACAATTTTTATTTTTAAGATTTTGAATTTTTTAAACCATTTATGAGTTCATTTCTTTTTCCAAAACCAGTCTTATTATAAATCTAATGCATAAAGGGAGGGGGTGGGGAAGGAACTATCAATTAAAATTTCAACTTTATAGAATTTGTCGCTTTTGAAATATAGGATTCAATATGCCTGTAATTGAAATGGATCTTTATGTATATAGAGATGTATCTTAACTGCAGTGTTGTAATTTTATTTATTCACCTTTTATTATAAAAATTAATTTAAAAAAAATAATTTTCACATGTGTTTCTCTTCTCAGTTCATGGATCAGCTGTAAGTCTTGTTTCGACTGCCTCATCCCTGTATAGTACGCCCGAAGAGAAACAAGCCCACGAAGTGAGGAAACTTCGAAAAGAATTATCCGATGCTCAAGAGAAGGTCCACACGCTCACTAACCAGCTGTCGACAAACGTGAGTACTACAACTTTATCAATTGTGTGTCAGTTTGTCATTCTATGTGTTTGTGCCTGTACTTACTTTTTTTGGTAATAGGATACTCGCATGAAAAACAGATTAAAAAAAAAAATAATTAAATTTGAGCTACAATGGAATTTGATAAAAACTTATTAAGATTCATACAGAATTTTTTAAGTAATTAAAAAAGTTGATGTTTAGCTAATAATCTGAAATATGGTGCTTCAGGAAGTTATGGTGAGAATTGGATTTATGAAATCTAATATAATATTTTTTTTTTCTTGTATAACAGAGTGTAAACAAAATTGGAATACAGTACAATCCCAATAATTTGCAATGCCACAAGTTTAGTACGTATTATAGAGGTTTTCAAAAAGGTAGAATTATGAATTATTCATTGTTAAAATAGGAAAAATTCAGATTAACGGAATCCATATATGTACAATGCAACCTATACACATTTAATATAAAATAAAAAACATAAACTAATTTTCAGAAAGCGGAAAAAAGTCAATTTTTGTTTAATAAGTTCTACTGAAATTGTTTTTTATGATTTTGGAACAAAATTATAATCTGTTAAAATTGAAGCTATGTTAGACAATTTTTTTAAAAATGACATTTGTCCTCTGTCTTTGATATGAAGCCCAATCGTATATAATTTTCTATCTTTGATAAAAAAAAAACGTAAAACTTCTTCACTTTGCTGCTTGAAGGTAGTCCAGCGACTACATCCTTTTTTTTCAAACACTGATGAATCCACACTGAACTGAATAAGAGATAAAGGATATTTAATCTAATTTAAACAGAAAAAGTTGTAAACAAACATGATTTAGATGATTGCATGAATTCAAGAGTTGTGATGGGAAAATTTTTTTCTGAATAAACAGAATTACTAACATTGCCTTTCAAATTTTAAGGCAAAGAGAATTTTTTTTCTCCAAATAAATGAAATTGCTAACGACTTACGAATTATAAGACATTTAATTGGTATGAAAACCATTACGACAAGGGTACCAAAATTCCCTGTTTTTATGAATTACTCCTATTTTTTCCAAGGGGCAACAGTTTATTTCAGAATTATTCAGATTGTACTGTATATTATTTCTTGGAAATTTTGAAGAATGTATAAAACTCAACCACCCCACCTTATGCTATCTAACTTTCTTTAACACTTAATATGCATCGAAACTTCAGGACTTGTTGCATTTTTATTTTTAAAACCTTATCTTCAACTTGAAATGGATATTAATAAATAATCATTATAATTATAATATAAATAAAATTGAAAATTCATGCAAGTATCCATTTCTTATTTGGGTCCTTTGTTACGTTTGAATTATTTATATATTTATTGTATTCGTGATATGACAGAAGTTGTATTTATTTTGTTGTATACTTCCTTGACTGATAATATATGTTAATTTATTTGACAAATTTATTTATTTGACAAATTAAATATTGTTTAAGTTATACAAATATAAGGTTTAAGTTCCTCTTTCAGTTCAAACTACTTTTATTATGATTGATTGAATCTCTTTATATGTGATATAGTTTGTACGATAGGTTGATATTTATGTATATATTAAGAAAAGATTTGATGGTTTTTAGTAAAAAAGATAAAATCACATAGCGTCGTTTTCCTGTTATTAGATATCAATAAAATGTTAAAGTTAAGAACATAGAGGAAATTCACTTTTATTTTAACGAAAGGAATAAATTTCTTAAAGAAACTTAGCATTGTGTCGCTAATTATGAACACTCCAATTCAAACAAAAGGAATAGTTGAAGTAAGCTGATGCTTGGTGCTACAGAACTTAAATTTTTAAACCTTATAGAATTTAACAAGCCTTAATCTCCAATATGGGCAATAGTAATATAGAATTTTCTTATATTCGCACTTCAAAATCAAAGTCCTTTACTAATTTTTAACTAATTGCTAAATTGTTGTAGTATTCACACATACACACACACACACACATATATATATATATATATTTATTAACCATTACTGCTAAAACTGTCATTTCATATAAAATTGACTGGGTTTATGTTTAATATATTAACATGGTCTTTATATGATTGTTTTTTTTTTAAATAAAAAAATTATGGAAGCATTTAAAAAACTTAATATTAACAAAATATTATTTATTAGTTTATGTTCTTGAACTTGCGTTATCACGTTTTATTTTTTCTATACAACCTTGCTTACAGGAGAAATTAAAAAATAAAAACTTGTAAGTTATAGTTTCAATTTTTATTTCTTTTTATTATCCACTACCTTGCCCACCTGGCATATGGGGTGAATTTTTTTTTTTTTTTCAAGTTCTTGTTTATTACACATTTGAAGGTAATGGTACTAAACAATTCCGCATTCAATCTGAACTTTATGGTGTAATGAAATCTTTTGCGATAAATCTGAATTTAATATTTTTGGCCCTGACAGACGTGTTAAAATTTAAAAAAGGCATAAGAAATTTTGATTGTTTAAAAAAAATAATTATTTTAATTTTTAAAGAAAATTACTTTAGTTCAAACATTTATTTTACTAACTGTGGTTTTAAGGTGCCTTCATTATATTTTTTGTTATCAAAATTAAACTCCTGGTTGTGTACTTGAGCAATAGTGTCAGCCTTTCACAATTTCCGTTATAAATTTTTAATAAAGATAGCAAACTGTTAATAATTACAAAAATGATATTGGTTTTGTTATGGGTTATGATTAAATGTTATAACTTTCGACTATATGAATATTAATATATAATTTAGTCTTTTTGACGCTTGTTTTATGGTAAATCATAGAATTGTTTCTACTGTTTAAATTCATCTATTGAAAATATACATATATATATAATTATTACTTTTCTGAAAATATAAAAGATACTTACATTTTTGAAATGATTTATTATTCTATATAAATAATTATTTATATATTATTAAATAATCATTTAATATGTAACTGTTTGAAGCTATTATCCATCTTCCTAGTGTTGTAATTCATTTTATTAAAATTATGATAAATTGTTTGTTTTTAAATATTTAATAAAAAGAACATTACAAACAAAAAATTTTTTTTTAGTTTTTCTTTATTATTCTTTTTTCTCCCTTATCTTTCAGTCTCCTGATCCTATAATTTGTCTAAAGAATGGTTTGTATTGTGTTAATTCAAAGCCTTTTCTTGGCATCATATTTATTTCATTAATAATATATTTTAATCCACCAAAAAAGAAAAATTTAAAAGTAATAGCACGATGACACTAGTAAGATTGATAAAATTTAAATTAAAATTAAATTACATTTAAAGCTTAGTTCATTGCAAAAAGCTGAGATGTAAGTTTTAATGAAAATCCACACTATTCCATCTTACGACCAATGCAACATGCAGAATTGGCCATTCGTCAAAAACTCTTACAGTTTGATTGGGATCTTCTTTCTTATCCACCGTACTCCACAGACCTTGCTCTATCCGATTATTACTCGTTACTTTCTTTAAAAAATTTTCCCCATGATAAAAATAGTGATAAATAAAAACGCATCTTGATGAATATTTTGCAAGTAAGACTAAAAAATTTTGAAAAAATGATATAAGAGGCTTCCTGAGAGATGGAAGAAGGTAATAGAGCAGATTGCTTCATATATAACACTGTTAATCAACATTAAACAACAAACTAAGAAAAAGGGAAATAATTTATGATGGTAAAACTAATAATATCAATATTCTTTATTTTTTTAAAAATGAGACATTTATTAATACACAGGCAATCAGCCCAAATGCTTTTAATTTTAAAATAAGGGTTTTCCCCTTGAAAATAGTCTTTAAGAAAATGGTCTTCAAAACATTGAAGAAAGAACAAATAAACTAGGAGCTGATGGATCAAATATGTTTTTTATAAACATTATTTACTGTAAATCAACAAAGTTATAATAAAATAGACTGTGTATATACTAATATGTATATACAAATATGTATTAATAAATAAATGTATATAAATATTTATAACCTTTTTTTTTATCTTGAATGTATAAATTAAGAATTCATTTTTTTTTTAATAAAAAAATAATAAGAAAAACAGATCTGTTTTAACAAATATCACCAATTTAACTTAAGGTGGAATAAAAAAAATAAATGGAGTAATTATTAACAAGACATTCTTTTTTTTTTTTTGTTATTTATTATTGGTCTTTCCCTTCTTATTTTACATAATTTAAAATTATGTCTTTCTATTATTCAATAATATGATATTAAAACATAATGTACTAATGTGAATTGAAATTTGATAGGACCTTGTATAAAGTAGTAATAATAAATAAATGAAATAACTTATTATCATTATTAGGCCAATAGGAATTTACGACGCTGAGAGTAGCTTACATATATATAGATTTATTTACAATTCAGTGAAGAACAAAAATGTTATACAATCATACATGGCACCAAATAAACATTTAAAATTAAATTATAAAATAATAAAAGTAATTTTTTTTTAATAATACTTATAGCAATAATATATTAACGTGTTGCTGTGTACCAATAATGTTTAATAACATTTGAGTTGTTACTTAAGTAGTTAATTATCACAGTCAATAACAAAATGCCTCCTTAGCTCTGTTAAAAAAAAAAAAAAACAGAACTATTCCATAAAAAAAAAATAAATAAATTAAAAAACTTCATACATCTCTACTACATTTTTATATATATATATTAATTTATAATTCAGTTACAAATTTTTTTTTAAATAGGTTAAAACATAATGCATTCAAATTTGTAGCATAAAATCCTCAAATGACCATTATTTATTTTTAAATAAAATTAATAATGAAAATCATTAAAATTTAAAAACTTTACTTTCGGGATAAAGAGATAACTGTGACTTAAAGTTGTGAATATCATTAATGAAGTAGTTTTCTTCTTTATTTGGGGCTTCTTTTATCAGATTGTAGGACAGATGCGAAGGAAGACTTGCCTGGCTGTTATCTTCGACTTCGTTGTCTTCCTCCATTTTGCTGTTGTAACCTACCACCTGGATAGTAAGCTTCTTGTGGTTCGGATCGCTCGCGTCTATTCTAGTCTTAAGGAAAGAAATAACATCATCCGGCTCGATTTCTGACAGGAGTTTGATTTCTTTTTCTAGCCGGTCGAAGGCGTACTCGAAACACTTTATCTCTGCCCAATTCCTTTTGATTTCTTCCTTTATATGTAAATCGCAACATTTTTTTATGTTTATTAGAGCTTGAACGACTTCGTCAAATTCGTTTCTTGGCATTTTTATGAGAGATTCGAGAAAACCTCTAAGAAAAGTTGATATCCTCTCTTCTACGTGATCGACTGAATGTTTGTATATTTGAGAGACAACTGTAATTGAAAACCCTAAAATTCCGTAAGATTCTCTTATCGTACCACTGACGTCGTACCCGAGCTGTTCTTGAGTCCTGAGTTGGTCGAAGAGCGGCTCTTCCATCAGCATCATCAACAGATCTATCACACAGTACTCCTTCACGCTTCCCGGCCCCATCTGATAATAATTTGTAGTTACGCAGTTGGAATCTCTCAAGTTGAAAGACATTAGTCGACAGCATTTTTCAATATTCGGCAACTGATGAACTAGTATTTTAGGCCTCTCTTCGACCGGCAAATTTCCCGTTTCCAACTGACTAACGAAACCTTGGCAGATTTCTAAAGCTTTATCTTTGAGTATGTTGCCCTGTACTAAACATTGTATGTGTACTTTCTTGAAAAAATTGTCACTGAATTTCTTGACAAGATCCAAGTCAATACAAGGAAGGGTGTTGTATTTGTCAACGGAAGTGAAAAACCTGTCCAAGATTATGCTCATTCTAACTTCTCTTGCGAGATTTGAAATTTTGAGATTATTGTTGTAATGAGATTTTTTGTTTGTTTCTATAAATGCCTGTAGAAGATCATTGGTTATATTTGCATTGAAAGACTTTATATGATTAGCTATCTTATTTAATAGTATATCCAATTTTTCATTGAAACCGTAAACTTCTACTACTAAAGCTCTGTCGACAGTAGACACGCTATATTCAAGAAGTGCCATGTTCGCAGGATACAACTCTTCAACTAAAAGATGATTGAGCAATGTTGTATACATTGACAGAAGTGTGTTATCTAATGTTGATTCAAATACGTTCTTATTAACTATTTGGAAACCGATGAATCCAAGGGGAAGCTTAAATTTATTATCAGGTTTAAACCAAATATCCAATTGATCAGATGAGAAAATTTTTTCCGGATAAAGAGGACCTTCAGTGCCTTGATGCAAAATTGTAAAATCTGAGGTAATATATTCATTAGGAGCAGGGAACCTAAACTCATTATATTGTTCTATGTTTTGCCAATTCTCGATCCATTGAGAAGGTATATCTTTAGTGCAATATCTAGTTTTGAACCAAGGCTCAGTTTGATTAAGAATAATTTCAGGATCGTGATTTTTCTTCGATAGAACAATATTCACATTAGAAGGAGTAAGTTCGTTCAGAAAATTACTTATCAAAGTAGGTTGGTATTCGAAGAAAAGTTCACCTCCTCTGATATAATCCTGTGGTGGGTAATGCTGCATGTTGTCTGACAAAAATTCTACATTATCAATCGCAGGAGTTTCTTCATCATACTTGAAGTCTATTGCAGCAATTTTTTGTAATTCTAGAAAAGCTCTCTCATCAGGACCGTGATTTTGTGTCATCTTTATATAGCTAAAAGTCGCATTTAGTACCTCCTCCAAGTTCTTTAAACCATTTTCTGTCAGAATTATACTAATTGTAAATATCGAATAAATATTATTATCAGCTAAACCGTCTTCGTTATGCCCTGCAGAAAGTCCTAATGCCCACAATTTCTTTCTCAAATATGAAATCAAACTGCCCTTTCCTTCGTGTCCGATAACCCATGATAACACATTTGCTGGTTTGTATTTGTATAAACTTTTAGTCGATGGTAGATGCCAATTCAATTCTAACAAAATATTATCATTAACACTTTCGATAAAGTACATCTTATTGAACTTGCTTTTATCGAACAAATTTTCATGAGGTTCTGTCAGTTTTATAGGATCAAAATTATTGCACGGAATATCTGAAAAATATTTGACAACCCACTTTTCCAATGTTTCTATAGTCACCCTAGCCTGAATTGCCAAGGTCATCCTGTGTGCTGAATAGTGTTTTTCCCGAAATTTGTGTACAGATTCATAGAGATAATCATCTGTTACATCATCGCGAAGAGTTTTAAGATTACCCCATACAAATTTACCTCCCGGATTATTAGGAGTAGCTGTACCCGATAGCATTTGCTGCCGTCTGTAGACATCAGAAGGCAAAGCAATTGTAAACTCTGATTCTACTGCTTCTCTTTCGCGGGTCATAGCCTCCCGTTTCATGAGAGGCGATATAAAAAATTGGGAAAATATATCTAGAGCTTTTGGCATGAATTTATCTTGGCACTCAAAATAGTAGGTAGTGTACTCACATTCTGTAGAAGCATTGTCAGAACCACCGTGCTTTTTGATAAAGGAGTCAAACTCATTTTCTTTTGGGAACTTCGTACTTCCCATAAATACCATGTGTTCTAGAAAATGTGCGAGGCCAGGTATGTCATTAGGATCACTAAAACTGCCTACTCCAACTGTTAGCGAACAGGCTGCAAGTTTTTCTTCTTTTTTAGCAAGATGCCTATCACTTTCAGATCCCTTACTTGATTCGGAGGCTGCGCTGCTCATGGACTCGGCATCAGAAACTTCACTTTCACTATCTTCTGACGTTTCCATTTCTTCAGAGATGTCAATTATATTTGTAACATCAGATATCAGTAGAGCAGTAAGGCCATTAGCTAACCTTATCACAGAGTATTCCTTTTTGTCATTTTCCGATTTGATAGGTGCTTCAAGTCTGCACAGTTCAAGCATTGTTACTTCTGTGGTATTGTTATCCGACAATTCGAGCCCTGGCTTGGAGATAATTGTGTTCTGTATAACTTCCACTGATCCGGCGGCGGCCGAGTTCTGGTTGGATAAATTGGTGACGTGTTTGACCATTTCTACCTTGCACTTCTTCGACATTGTCCTGTAGATATTGGAGAGGAGATATGTACAATTTTTATACATTAAACAATTTAAGACACCAAGTCGAAATCCCACATGTTTTTAACCTAACTAAAACTGAGAACCCTCACATCACTCACATATGTATCGAATCGAAGGCAGTGCGAGCGCGGCGCATTCTGGCGGCTCCGTTCCGCCCTACTCGCCTTTTCGATCCGTCCATTTAGAATCGACAACTTAATACGTCTTTACACTAGCGGATCCAGGATTTAATTTTGGGGGGGGGGGCTTCATCCCGAAAGATTTTTTTTTTTCATATACATATAACGATAATTAATTTGAAAAAAAATAAAGACATTAATTACCTGTATGAAATGGTGTTTAAGTGGTTCTTGAAGTCCTATTAAATACAATTACACGAACAAGCATACTTTAAGAGATAGTTTTAATATTTTTTTCTGTAAAACATGGTTATATTTTACCATTTTACCATCCCGTAGATCCGTCTTTATATAAAATAATTTTCATTCAAATTATTTCAATTGATATAATAATATAATAGATTATTAATGGACTTAATTTCAATGTGAATTTTCCTGATATCTTTAATAAACATGATACTTTGAAATTCTGCTATTTATTTTGGAAACTGTATATATTTAACAAAATTAATTTTCTTGAACTTAACATTATATATATTTAACATTATTTGTTTAAATAATTTCAATTATAGAATTATGTGTTTAAATTTACCTGTTATTGTTTTATAAATTGCTTACTTTACGCAGTTTATGAAAATTTAAGTCATTTTAACATGTGACTTAACAATTAAAATGAAATTTCTATTGCAGTGTAAAATCTAATTTTTAATTTAAAAACAATAATAATATATTCACTATTGACCACTAGCGGATCCAGGATTTAATTTTGGGGGGGAGGGGCTTCAGTCCGAAAGCTTTTTTTTTTCATAAAAATGACGATAATTACTTTGGAAAAAAAAGAAAGAAACCAACTATCTATATGAAATGGTGTTCAAGTGATTCCTTAAGTCTTTTTAAATGTAATTACACGAACAATAATACTTTAAGAGATAATCTTTTTATATTTTTTTCCATAAAACATGGTTATATTTTACCATTTTTGGGGGCTTCAGCCCGAAAGCCCCTCTCTCTCCCCCCCCCCCCCCGTAGAACCGCCCGTGCTATTGACACTACAAAAATTCAGATTGACTTACACATCTGGTTTAGGGGTAGATTGATCCATTGAATGAAACTTCATTATAACTTCAATGTGCTTATTTCTGAATTTACTTTATATATATTAATTTTATTTTTATTTTTAAATACAGCAATTCAATAGGAAGGTATTTCCTTTCGTATTCCGTAAGGTATTTCAGTTTTAAGTGAAACTCCTAGCTGAACAAACCTCCCTGAAGAAGACCTGCTAAGTCGGGTCGGAACGTTGGCTTTTAACACTAGTGGATCCAGGATTTAATTTTGGGGGTGGGCTTCAGCCCGAAAGATTTTTTTTTCGTATAAATATAACGATAATTAATTTGAAAAAAAAAAGAAAGAAACTAACTACCTATATGAAATGGTGTTTAAGTGGTTCTTCAAGTCTTATTAAATGTAATTACAGGAACAAGAATACTTTCAGAGATAGTTTAACATATTTTTGTCTGTAAAACATGGTTACATTTTACCACTTTGGGGGGGGGAGGGGGGAGCTTCAGCCCGAAAGCCTCTCCCTTCCCCCCCCCCCCGTAGATCCGCCTGTGGCTTTTAATAAAACAGTTTTTCCACTATTTAGCTTATTTATGGCCGCTACCCCGGACCATCTCTTCCTTAGTATTTCCTTATATATTTTGTGACATTCCAAGAGTAATAACATACTGCTTGAATCTAGTAGGTGGTTTCTAAACCCAGCATAATTCATTGTACAACGTTGCTTGATTACATCGATGGAATTAGCGCTGAGTTTAATAACTTAGCCAAAAAAAGTCAATAACCTCACCTGTATTTTATTCTATTATTTGTATCATCACAGCATAATATTTTTTTATTCATTATTTGTTTTTCTCCCTTGCTACATTTCGCCACTTCTTAAGACCCACTGAGATCAAATGAACTAAAATTATTTATATAGTTGTATATATTAAATAATATTTTGGGTTTTAGGCAGAACAATACCATAAAGGTTTTGTCGATTTTCTTCAAAATTTCGGTATTTTCAAAATATTTCTATATTTTTCGCTGTTATGCGGATTAGACTAGAGCGCCCCTCTTCTACGGATATGTATTTATCTTAATAAATAAAGTTATATATTCAGCTCTTCCCCCTCCACCGCACCTTATTCGGTCGCTCCCGACTCGGAGCCGAACACAGCCGATCCCCCTCGAAGATCGGCCTGCAGCCGGCAGTGGTCGTGGTATGGCCGTGCACGACGGTTTCGCCACAGTCCGGAGCCCCCGGACCAGGACGATGGTACGTCTGGAACCCCTGAGGGAGGAGATCCCGCCCCTCTGCCGCGATGTACCCTGGTGGGAGGTGGCCACCTCCAGGTCCAGGCCGAGATCTTGTTCGATCATACAGGTACCCCAGCTCTCACTTTATTTATTTATTATTTTTTATATATATGATAAATTGTCAGGGTTTACGATCCAGACGTTTCGGCCGATGTATGTATGTGTCGAGCAACAAGAACTTGAGTTCGAATGATAAGAATCGAAACTTGGACAAGCCTCATAAACACATATCTTGACTGCAAATCTTCATAATCTTAAATAAGTACACCAAACATTCAAAATTTCGTTGGGATTCTAAAAAATATTAATAAGCCGAGCAAATAAAATCTTCCGTTAATAGTTTGTTTTGTTTTTGTGAAAAGTTGACATTTGTCATAAACTACAATCAATTATAGCTTGTATGTATACATACTAACATAACATGTATAACTCATTGTATTTTATAAATAGCTAAAATTCATAATTTACCTTACACGTTACAATATCAGGAGTAGCTGAGTGATTTAGGCACTGGACTACTAAGCTCAAGGTCCCCGGTTCGAGCCCAGCTGATGTCAAGTAATTTTTCATTAGCCGTGGATCGACCCTGGACCAGTCTATGTAAAGTGGGTACTCTGAATTAAACAATTTATTAAGGGGGGAAATCTGGCAATTAAGTGTGATCTTGGTCCGATCATCTTCCAGTACAACCGTTGGCCGCGAGATAGTACTTCCTATCAAAGTATTAAACCGAAACTCTTCATGGATTGTAGTGGTACAGTTTTGTGCTGGATGAGGGTTTCATGGAGTAAGATGCGCCTTAAAATTGTTTGAGGGTGGTAATATTTCGACCAGGTTATGAATTTTCTGAAAAAAAAAGTTTAAAACCAGATATACAAAAGTGAATATATATGATCTACGTTTTTTTAAATTATACTTTCATTTGCACTGTTTTTAAGAAGACAGGATTTTAAAAAAATCTTTTTTGGTTAATGGGCCATCAATCTTGGGGAGGAGGGATGGCAATTCTTATTACAATGTTAGTCCGAAACGTTGTTTGATGAAAAATAATGTAAGAAGTTTAATTAAAAGGGTTAAGTAGAGTCATGAACATTACAATATTATAATAAATCAACGTACTATTTTAATTTTAATATTATATGTTATCATCTATATTTGCACAGCATTTAACAAAAAAGAACCAACACATATGAATTAATTCAAAGTTAAAAAGCAAGTACATTTTCTTTTTTGTCTCAAACCTAATTTTATTCTATATTTTCTCAAACCCAACATATTGCTATCGATATCAACGAGAATTCATCAAAAATTAAATTTATTATTATTATTTTTTATTTTTTATACAACCTGAACCACTAGCGATGGTTCTATACTGATCTAAATAAGACTTTTTAACCACCTCTACTCTTAACTATTGATTGCATTTTTTTCTTTTGGAAACGCACAAATAAGAAAAGTTAATTTCATGTGTACGGACGTTTCGACGTAAGTTTTAGGGCCTTCATGAGGGTGACAGGTGTAATGTTCTCTACCTGGTTTGAAGGTATATAACTGGGCCGAAACGTCGGTTCGTATTAAAATCAATTTTCTTATTTATTTGACCGTATCCCTCCCTAACCAATATCTGTAATTTATTTTATTTTTTTCAGTTTAAAATTAATTTAAATAATGCTAATGAATTATCCCTATTGTATAATGGTATAGTATATATACAATCCACTTTAAGGACGAGATAGTAGAAGTGTCCGCTGTTGGAGGGCCTATTGTTTATATTGACAATTTATTTGTTTATTTTCTCTAAGCAGCTGTTGCATCCCGCCCGCGCGTTCTTCCCGCCTCTTCTGCCCTCTCACAACATTCTTGTAACTAATTACATTACATTTTTATTTATTTATTTTAATTTATATATTTCGTATAATTTCATTATTTATTATTATATCTTTACTTACGTTTAAAATGGTATTTATTTGCCCAATAGAATAATAAAACATATCTTCCCATTATATATTTATTATTAAAAGTTATTTATATCTGTGATTCCTTTTAAATTTCTTATGGTAGTCATTCGTGGCGAAAAATTTATTTCATATGTAGAACGCTCTTAATTAATAAACCTTATGAAGAGAAGAATAGTTGGGGTGTTCAGTCAAAAAGGAAGGCAAAAATAAATGATAATATTTATTTTTTACATATGCCGACGTTTCGACCTGAAGTTCAGGCCTTCATCAGGGCTAAGAAAATAACCAGATAACAAGGTATGAGAAACAAAAGTAATGATGGTAAAAAATATAATAAAAAATAAAAAAATTTAGAAAAATAAAATAGATAAATATAAATTTCAATTTCATTTTACTTTATATTTATCTATTTTATTTTATTTTTCTAAATTTTTATTTTTTTTATTTATTTTTTTTTATTATCTTTTTTGCAATCATTACTTTTGTTTCTCATACCTTGTTATCTGGTTATTTTCTTAGCCCTGATGAAGGCCTGAACTTCAGGTCGAAACGTCGGCATATGGAAAAAAATAAATATCATTTATTTTTGCCTTCCTTTTTGACTGAACACCCCAACTATTCTTCTCTTCATTATCCACGACAGTCAACCAATTACCAATAATAAACCTTATGGTTTATTTTTGAAAAATAACAATCGTATTTCTTCTTTATACTAAAAATTTATTTATTTTAAATTATTGTTTAAATATTCAAATTATTAAATGAGTATAAAATCAAAACAGGGGTGAAACACTAGTGAATTCAGGATTTAATTTTTTTTTGGGAGGGGGGGTGGTTAGGGTTAAGGGCTGGTTTGAAAAAAAAAAAAAAAAAAAAAACTACCTACCTAAATGATATGTTGTTGAGTGATTCTTGAAGTCCTATTAAATGTAATTACACGAACAATAATTCTTTAAGAAATAGTTTTTAATATTTTTTTCTATAAAACATGGTTATATTTTACCATTTGGAGGGGGGGCTTCACCACGAAAGCCCCCCTTATAAATCCGCCTGTTGGATGAACTAATTATTTTGTAATTTAACTGGCAGCTACATTATAAATGTACATACTTATGTTGGTAATTATAATTAACAACTGCGGATTTTAAATTAAAAGTAGCGACAAAAAATATATATTATAAAATTACTAGTAAAAAATTTTAAATTCTGTTTTTCTACAATGCTTTTGTGATTTTATTATTTCTTTTTTATAAATTGAAGGTAATTGATATATTTTTAAATGCAGTGTAGAAGAGAGGCGTATATTATGAGAAGTTTTTAATAATAAAATTCGTTCAAAATTCTTAAATAATTGTTGTTTCTTTCTTATTATTGTTATTTTTCTTGAGTTTAACAACCAATAAGGTAACTACTTAAAATACCACTAAATTAAACTGATATTAGCTAATAAAATAACTGATTTTCGTAATTATAGGATTAATGAACCACTTAAACAGACCAGAAAGGAAGAAATAAGACTATAGAAATGTTAAGAACTTTTTTTTAGTAATTTTGGGTTAATAACTTATTAAAGTTACGAATACAATGTTTCTATTTATTACATTATGAACCATATTTTCTATTTTCTACCGTTATTATTATATTAGAAAAATTATTATAAATGGAATAAATTTTCTAATTGGTAATTTCCAAGTGATCCTTACTTATCAGCTTAATTACGTTATGAAATGCTGCTTAGTAATAAAAATCGATAATTTTTAAAATAAATATTATTACAAGTAAGATTGATTCGCATTCGCTTAAAGAAATATAATATATCATATAAAGTTTTATATTTTCGGTAGGTTAGTAAATAAAAATAAAAAGTATTTAATGGGATTAATTTCTTGAAAGCGTGATAAGGTTTATCAATAGTGTTATCAGACTCAGCTGAGCCGTTATCAGCTCTCACTCGATGTCCTATTTGCTACCGTGTCTTCTTCGCCAGATTAAAATTATTTCAATGTTTTGTAAACATCATGTTGTCATTGTTTATTTTGCCAATGCGCAAATAATATTGCTTTACTAATTCTTATCTTAATAGACATAAAAATATATTGTTTTGAACTCATGTTATTTGTCAATTTGGATGGTATTGTTTGCAATTATTTATATACAAATATAATTTGATTTTTAATTATTTAAAGGTTTTGGATTAAAATTTGAGTTTCTGTTAAAGTAAAATGTTCGACTAGGATTTTCTTTATTTGAAATAAGTTCTCAACGCTTCGCAGTTATGTATGTTTACATATATATAACCACTCAAATCTTTTATATAACGTTGATGTAAATTTTAGATTTTGTGCATTTTTATTTATAATTTTTTTTTTTTCTTAGATTTACGTTTTACGATTTTAGTGAACATAATTACTGACCCTATTCGTTGTTGAATTATTTGTTTTCGTAAATTTCGATAGTTAAAGATAATTTTCACAATATATATATATATATATTAATTATTGATAGTAGATTAATATTGAACTGGATTGGAACTTTGATTCAAAAAGTAAATATTTTTTTAAAGAAAATATTTGTCTCAAATCCTTTAGATTTAAACTCGGTTGTTATCTATGTCTTTTTTATTTATTTAGAAATATAACAATCTGTCATGTGGACAGTAATTATAGTGATACATGAACACATTCATACCATATATACAGAAAATATAAAATTAACAAAAGTAAAATAATAATCAAAAATTATGTACAATAAAAAATAAAATAACCTAAAAATGAGTAAATTAAAAACAAAAAAACACAGTCATACCTATATACAATGTATACAATAAGGCAGGGAACCCCAAGCCAGTCTGCTCTCTCCAACTATAGAAGGAAAAACAGGACTTCAAGATATCCCTGTGCTCTCTCAACCACGTTACTGGTGCTAAAATCAGTGGGTTATCTGTTAGGAATGTTGACCACAATAATTTTCTCTTTACTTCAAAAATACAACATAGTTTCGATAAGGTTTCTATTTCTCAATTTAAAATCTTTTTTTATTTTGTTTTAAATTTTAGTAACAGTATAAATAAAATATTTTATTAGGATTTTTCAGTTTGAAATACGT